TCAGACTCTGTGTTTCAGTGGTCAGACTCTGTGTTTCAGTGATCAGACTCGTCCTCTCGGGGCTTTCATCACTTACACCGTGCGCTCTTTGATCACCGTGCTGATGTTGTTGAGGTCGTCTCCGAAGCGACGCACCGCCAAACGCAACATCTCGATCTCCGTCTCCGTCCACTTGGCTCTGAGGACGCAGACACACGCTGATTAACACTAACACACTTTATTAAGGAGGCTGTACGGAGTCCTGGGGGGGACTGACCCTGCGGGGCTGGAGTCCGACACCGGGTGCAGCTGCATGGTCAGCTCTCCCAGCTTGGTGAAGGCGGCTCCTGCTGCCGAGAAGATCTCCCCGACCTGCAGAGGTTCATCAGAAGAACGACAGACTGAGATAACACCAATAACTATGGAAGCTCTTTCCCGCCAGATTAAAGTCAGCCTCCATAATTAAAATATCCTCAAAGTAAATCGAAATGATGAGATAAGAAGAGCACATTTACACTCAATCAATAACTTTTAAACTCAGCCTCACTTTCATCACAACGAGCCGTCCAATAACACCCTGCTGTTCTTATATCAATAAAACACTCAATCACTCAATTATTATGAACTGTAGCCTTACCAATATATCAATGTCTCATAATTTAGATTTACTTTGAGGAATATTTTTATACTCGAGAGTTTAATGTGGCAGTAAAGAGCTTCCATACAAACGCACCGATTCTTCATTAAACATAAGTGTTATTGTATGAACAGTGAGCCGAATCTACCGTCACAGTTCAATAATACAGGAGGAATAAAGATAAATCACTTTTAATGAAGTTTACAGTTAATAATAATAAAATGTGTAAACTCTGCAGTTTTCTGAACGGACTTTGGCGCGCAGCGAACAGCGGTGTCCGGTAACCAGGTGACAACTTACCTTGGCGGAAGCAGACGTCATGGCGGTGAATGAGCTCAGGCTTTTACCTTTTAAACTTGTTTACAAACAAAACAACAACAATAACAAACAAACACACACACAGCTAGCTGCTAGCTAAAGTTAGCTCCGGTAACGTTAGCTAGCTCGCTATCGTTAGCGCGCTTCCATAGAAACCCCGGGAAAGTTTTCTAAACACTTTTTAACGTCCGCGCCAAACCGAACACCGAGAATCCGCCGCGGGTTGTTTATTTATCACATATTCGGGAGTAAACAACGTAAATATAAAACAACAAAGGCAGAGACACGGAGAAGGAATAATGCGCGACTTTGGAGGTCGAAGCTCATTGGTCGGCGTCAGAGGAAGAGGCGGGGCTTGGCGCACCGGGCGTTCTCATTGGTCGCTGCGCTGCGGTGCCGACAGTTCCCGACAGTTGCCGAGTTCCACCGAGTGATGCGGATCAGCTGACTGCGAGCCGTCGTCCTTCCATGGGAACATTTGTCCGATTATTGAATCAGAAATAAGATCAGCTTCTGATTGATCGATAACTGTGATCAGGATGCCGTCGCTTCTGTTCTGCGGGCCGAAGATGGCCGCCTGCGGGATAGTGATCAGCATCTGGGGGGTCATAATGCTGGTAAGGAACGGGGCTCCGACTATCTCCTGGAGGCACACTGAGCTGAGCAGCGTCCAACGAGACGTTTTTATCTTAAAGTGACGTTTCAGTTGTTGTTTTTATTATTGTTGTTGTTTATTTAGATTATTTAGATTATTTAGACTTTAAAAATGATGAAAAACAAACCGTCTGTCACACAGTAATACCTGGGGGTGAACTGTTCCGGTTAATAGACGGAGCCCGAGTAGGCCTGGGTAAATGTACAATAACGTTAGTTTCTGTTCTGCTCTTGTAATCAATAATCGATACAGCGCTGGATCGATCAGTTGGCTTGTGTCTGTGTAATTAACGTTATGGAGGCGTCTAAAGTCTGGATACTCAGTCAGATGAATGGGTTTAAATGCTGGTGGCACAAACATTAAAACATAAACAGTTGATTTCTGATCGATTACAAACATTTTCAACAATATTCAGAAGATTGAATCAAAAACTGTTTGAATTCAGGAACTAAAGGGACAGAAAAAGACATCATGTGACTTTATTTTTGGCCTCATGTGATGTTTCAGAACAGGAAGTCAGTCTGTCTCCAACAGGAAGTTCAGATCATTATTATTATTATTGTTGTTGTTATTGTTGTTGTTGTTGTTATTGTGGAGCTAATGATTGGTTTCATTATGGATTCCTACATTTATTCTTTGTATTGTAATTATCTGATTGAGTCCAACAGACTCTATTAATCATGAATACTTCTCCAAAACCAGCAGAACAATAAAATAATTAACCATTAATAAAACACAGAAACATGAATCAGCTGTTTTCAGCATCAATATTTCTCTGTAAAAGCCCCAAATGAAAATATTTGAACTCAAACTTTAAATAAATTGTTATAAATAATTCTTTAATTGAACTTGAATTAATTTACGTTTTTAACGTGTTATTTTACATTATTGTGTTTGACACCAAACTGGATTCTGCAAAGTGTCGCAGGAGTTGTGAGTCTGTAGTTATTGGATCAATAATCAGTAATAATGTTCCTGAGAGTGCGTCGGTAATCTTCACTGCAGCTCCAACAAACAATTAAATCATTTCATCAGTTATTTATTAGCAAAAGATTTTATTAATAATGAACTGGAAGTATTGATTAGTGGCAGCGGTTTATTAACCTGGAAGTAATAATAATAATAATAATCTCTGTAAATGTTCAGGGTTTATTAGACGATCTTAATTGTTGTGTAATTTCCTCTTTGACTGTGTAGAAGATCAATTTTCTGTCAAATAAAATAAATTCTATTTGATTGGAAACATTAATGGATATTAGTGTTTGTAAGAAAGTGCCGTCCTGAAAGCTCCTGGAAATTATTTGATAAAACGTTAAAAATTTCACATTAAAAGCATTTAACAGCCATTAAACACGAGTTTATTTTGAAGTAACTGGTTCGTAACGTAACGTTAGTTCTCTGAGTGGAGGGAACTAGAAATATCTCCCAATGCAAAGTCGTATCTAAGGTTCGTCCTATTTACTGGAGCAGTGAACAACGTTTATGGGATGTAATGATTCTTCCAGGTATTAGTCAGAGCCTCAGGTGTCACCAGGGAGACAGTTATAATTTTTGTATCATTTTGATTACAAAAAGCATGAAAATATAAAATATTGATCTTATTTATTCTCTTTGGTCGGTGTCAGCGGGATAACACCTGACGTCGTTTATCGGGAGTTAATGGACGGCTTGTTACACATTTAGCACATTGCTCCTCGCTGCTGCACTGACCTCCGCACTGACCTCTGCTGTGGCCCCGAGCCTCCCGTTGAACCCCTCTGTTCTCTTTCAGGCCATGTTGGGAATCTTCTTCAGCGCCAAGTCGGCCGTGTTGATCGAGGACGTCCCGTTCACCGAGGAAGACATCCGTAACGAGTGAGTCGCTATGAACAGGATGATCAATGAATCAGCTGGACCGATAGGAGCCCATCACACACACACACACACATCACTGATAATCAATAATTAATAATCAATAAGCACAAAGAGAACCGAATGTATTTGTTTCCCTAAAACTGCTGAGACATTCGAGGACTCTTCATGAGTCCCATCTTCACAATGTGGTTGTCTTTCCAACATAGA